TATACAATCCTATATTATCTATCTATGATATTCTTCTCCCCCTCCAACACCTAAGGAGCAAAAATATTATCAACTAGACATTATAACTACCAAAGTTTTGTCCAACATTTCACAACATCAAGAATCTACTAGAAAATGGTTAAACGTTACATCGACCAAAAAAAATAAATGAACTGACAAAACAGATGATGAAATGAAATCTATACAGATTTGAGATAGATTTAGATCTAAACAACACAAACTTATACCTTAATTAACAGCCTATTAACTAAGCTATAAGATAACAGCTTTAAATAAACTTAAGGGTTCTTACACGAGTGCATTTTCAGACCACGCTGCTTCATAGATTTCAATGGCAATTTGAAATCCCATATCGAACAAATCCCCACGATCATCGTTACAGCAACTGCATATGTAACATCAAACCATATTTTTCTTGACTGCAATGTTGTCATTTTAACTGTTCCAATAGGTAGATCCCATTGACCGGCCCCTATTGTGCATCCATATTCTTTAAGATATTGTTAGAGTCATGAAAGTGACTCTATTTTGGTGATAAAAATACCCCATGTGTGATTTAATTGAAGCATATTGAGATAATTAAAGAATTTATGAATTTATTCACGAAAATTGCTTCCTAATATTTTTCTTATGAATTTAACGTGTTTGGAATGATTTTGGAAAGTATATGAGTTGATATTAGATTGTGGTTTATGGATTAAGGGTGATTTTGTCTCATTTATGCTATTTAGGGGGTAAAATGTCATGTTTTAAGGGGCTGATTTTGTCACTTTTCAATTATGCAGGGACCAAAGTGAGATTTTATATTTTGTTCTATAAAAGAAGACAAAAAGTCGCAGATCCAGGAGGCTGTTCACCCAGTTTTCCGGCGACCCTTCGTCTCCCTCCGGCGACGATTCATCTCCCCTTGCACCGATCCATCATCAGCCACCGCAAGCCGCCACCGTGAAACACGCACCCGTCGCGACGCTTCATCTTCCTATCGCGACGTTTCATCTTCCCGGCCAGTTTTGGCCGTTTTCCGATGACGTTACAGCTCCCCAAGGGTAGATCTTCATTCCCCATAGCCGGATCTAGCATTTCCAAGCTTCAGCCGCCGCGAAAACTGCCGGAATCTGCGGTTTTGTCGTCGCGCCTCTTCATCTTCCAGGCCAGATCTTGCTCATTTCCGGTGACTTCTCACTTCCCCAGGACCTGATCTGAACACCCCATCACCAGAGCTTTCCATTGGTACATTCGGATCCCATTTCCGCCACCGTTTTCTGGAGACCCACCGGAAAATTAACGTTTTCCGACGAACCACGGCTGTTCGTATTCCGGGCTGTCCGTGGGTCGTTTTTGCCCCTTCTTCACATCATATCGCTATCGGTTACCTCCTCTTCACCATGATCAGCTCCGTTTCCACTGTTTCAGCCTCCGTCATCACCACCATGAGCGGTTGAGTTCCCAGTTATCTGTTACGGTGTAGACGAGATCGAGATTGACTCCACTGATCTCCTTATCAGCTCTCGACTAGTTGGATGAGCCCAAATGTTGGATATTTGGTTAAGTTTCTTGTATTCAGATTATATTTGTTTTCGTTTTAGTTTGTCTGCGATACTTTAATATTATTCTGATACTAGACGTGTTGAATTGANTAAAAGTCCAAACGAAGTCAAAACCCTACCCGTTTTGCTTGAATTGATATTCTGTGTTTCATTTTGCTTTTTTAATTAAGATTGAATTCTTTGTTTAATTTCATTGTTGTTTTTTTTTTTATTACAATTTGCTCCCACCAATCCAAAGAATTCGATTACTTCAACTTGATAACGTTAGGAAACTTAGTGCTTTGCTAACAGTCCTCGTGGGAACGATATCCTACCCATCATTTTATTACTTGAGCGACTAGTGCACTTGCTAGTTTTGCATGTTGTAAGAAACACGCATCAATAATGGAGTAATGTATTTGGCTAAACATAATAGATGAAGGCATACTATTAATTAAGTAATAGGTAGTAGAAGGAACATCTGCCCAAAACTCTTTAGAGACTTTCAAAAGAAAGAGAAGTGTACGAGTGACCTCTAACAAATGATGCTTTTTTTTGTTCAGCAATTCCATTTTGCTGAGGCGTATACACATAAGACGACTGATGAATAATACCCTTGTTGGACAAAAAGAAGAGAGAGAAGCAGAAAAATATTCTTTGGCATTATCACTTTTAAAAATTTTGATGGATGAAGCAAATTGGTTTTGTATCTCAACATAAAAGGAACATAAAGAATAACTTAGAATTATTTTTCATAAAATATAGCCACATAACACGTGAAAAATCATCCTCAAAAGTAACAAAATATTTATAACCAGATTTAGATATAACAGGACAAGGACCCCAAATGTCAGAATGTATAACATCAAAAGGAGCAATAGCTCTTTTATTTTTTCTAGGACTAAAAGACACTCAATGGTGTTTCCCAAATTGATACGCTTCATAATTAAGCTATGACATTGACTGTAAACTAGGACATAACTTTTTCAGGATTGGAAGAGGAGGATGACCAAAATGACCATGGAAGAGAGAAGAGGACAAATCACTGGTATAGGTAACATGTGGCGCCACTAGAGTAGAGATGTCATTAAGCACGTACAAGCCACCTGAGACATGGCTCCTACTAATAAGCTGCTTTGTCCCAAATCCTGAAAGATACAATGAGTAGGGAAAAAAAATAAACACCATAATTAAACACAATAGTGATTTGACTAACAAATGAAAGATTAAAGGGAAAGAGAGGAAGACATAGACTATAGGAGAGAGACATAGATTTGGTCGGATTAGCAGTACCACAACCCATAATTGGTATAGTAGACCCATTAGCTAACATAACAGAAGACAAATCAGAAGAAGGTGTAAATGTGGGGAGAATACCTGTATCACCTATCGTATGGTGCGTAACACCAGAATCAATGACCCAGTTACAACTAGAAGTAGATACACAAGCTATCGAATTACCTATCTAAGTTAATGTAGTAGTAGTTGATGGAATGGATGACTAGGGGCCAGCAAGTTGAGTGAGATGAGCATACTCATTTGCAGTTATAGTAACCTATGAAGGAGTAGGTAAAATGCCATCTTGAACGGTAATATGAGCATATTTCTGATTGCTCGACATAATTAGAGGCTTTCCATGTTTACTTCTAACAATTCCTTTTGATATGACTTTCAACACCACAATGGAAGCAAGTACGAGGACTATTATCATTACCTCGAGTACCCTCGATATCCTAACTAGCACCTTTGTTGCCTCTACCACTATTAGACTTCATGCTAGCAAGAGCTACATGATTTGGAGAAATTATGCAACTCATCAACTCCCCCAAACTTAATCCTTTGCTCGTCCCTGAGTAAAGAAAATATCAAAAAAAAAAAAAAAAATAAATTAAACTCAACAATCATCAAGGATTCGCAGAATTCCTAAAATCAAGGAAAAGAAAGGAAACATGCTTTAAATAATATTCATGCTACCAAACATACGACCCAACTAATTGTGCAACTCTAATCTTTCCTCAACCCGATCATGCCTCACCAAGACTTTATACTCAAACCTCCTACTTATTTTCTTTTTCCTTTTTTTTTTCAATTGCTTCCTCAGATTGTCACATCACCTTTTTAATGAATGCACACATTTGTGATGAGTGCCCCTCGTTACTCAACAATGTCAAAACATATAAAGTGATTTGCATACTCATACTCATACGACAATATTCACCACCAATTTCCCTCTTTTCACCTTGAGGACAAGGTGGCACTCCTAGGGGAGGGTATTGATGGACCTCTTGTGACCAAATGGTTCGTCAGAACCAAGCACAAGGGAAGAGGCAAGGCTGGACATGTGACAAATTTGCACAACCAACTGGGGACAGATGGCAGCAAGGAAAAAGCAAGGGCTGGCACAATGAAAGGCTGACAAGTGTGAAGAATTGGTTATGAGGCTGGCACAATGGAAAGATGACAAGTGTGAAGAAATTGGTTATGGATCTGTTAGCTGGTTGGCACAATGAGGTAATGACAGGTGTGCTAGTTTGTTACCCAAGGAAGCTGGAAGCAAGTATAAAAGGGAACAGTAGACGTGCTAGAGCATGGAGAATTAGAGAGATGAATTAGAAGGAGCTGACCCTCGAAGACCAGCATTGCTTGAGTCCATTTTCATTTCCGTTTATTTCCAGTTTTAGTATTTGCAATCAAGTGTTGTAAAACACATTTCCATTCGGTTATGTTATTATTATTTCCCTTCTGTTTTGTTACCTTTAATTCCATACTGCTTGTTAATTTCCATTACGTTTTATTCCTTTTTCAACAAGTTATTCCCGTGTTATTTCTAAAGTTATTTGCTGTACACTTATCTATCTTGATTAACACGTGAAAAATACTGTTGTTTGCTGGGTTTTGTTGTCGGGTTCCATTACTATCATTCTCAATCATCCCCATCACCATCTTCATCCCCATCAAATTTGAACAGATAAGAGTGTTTACTGAACTTTCTGCATACCGTAACCAATATAGAGCATTTGGGCAGCTGGATGAACTTTTGCACGATTCTGCTCCAACAAAAAGTTTAATACTCGCTAAAGTTTTATCACGTAAACTTCAATTTCGCTTTTGGACCGGAAATTGAGGAAGCTCATTCAAACATTCACTATAATTTTCGGCCTTCATTAGTAACTGCATGACTAAGGACATTGTACATTCAGTCGGCTTCACATTTCTCTCCACCATCTTATGAAGGAGTTCAACAACTTTTGGTATCTCATTATTCTTGAGGAAACCAGACATAAGCGTAGTAAATGTGACTACATTTGGAGCACAACCTTTTTCCTCCATATATGACAACAACTCATTTGCTATTTCTAGTTGTCCATTTTTACACAGCCCATTGATCAAAATGCTATATGTCATAACATCTGGCACCAGGTTTCCATGAAGATAAAACTTCTAAAATAGGTCTTAGGCAGTTTCGAATCTCCCTGTTTTACATAATCCATCAATGCGAGAACTCAAACCTCCAATGCTAACTGCAAACTTATTAATTACTAGAGTATTAAACATTTCCAATGCTTCCAAAACACATCCATTCTTCCAAAGTCCATTAATGAAAATGCTATATGTCCAAAAATTAGGAAAACCATCATTAAGCCGCATCTCACCAACTAAATTATGTGCATCTTTCACCTTAGCTATAAGAAAAAAGCCAGTTAACAAGGTGTTATATGTAATCATATCAGGCCTAATTCCTTTTGAAATCATCTCTCGATAAAGACTGAGAGCTTCATTGACTTCTTTATTCTTGCAATACCAATTGATTAAAGTACTGTAGGAAAAAACATTAGGCCTACACCCCTTTCTACCTATAGAATCAAACAACTCCTATGCATCACCAATTCTATAGGCCAACCAATAATCGTTCATTAAAATGTTGTAGGTATAAATGTCAGGAACCACACCCCTCTGAATCATATGTTCCAAAAATAATTGTCTAGCCTTCTCAACCAATCCAGCCTTACAAAGACCATCAATTATAGTAGTATAAACAACAACATCTAGCCTACAAAAAACAACAGATTCTTTATTCCCATTAACCATCTCTTCAAGCAACTTAATGGCAACACTTATCTTCCCTATTTTACACAATCCACCAATCAAAGTGTTGCAAGTGATCACATTAGCCCTACCACCAATAGCAATCATTTTCTTAAACAATTCCATTGATTCCATAATCTTTCTCTTTGCACACAGACCTTTAATCAAACAAGTAAATGTCATGGTATTTGGGCTAAAACCCGACTTCAAAATCGCCCCAAAAACCGCATAACCATCATAAACCGTTTCAATATTATAGAGGCTATTCATCGAAATATTTAAAGACACAAAATCTGGAGACAACCCAATTGAATTCAACAACTTATATAGCGAAATCACTTCATAATAATGCTTCTTCTTAGCTAGTGCACTAAACAAAGTAGTGAATGATGAAATTGGAGAAAGGGGTTTCGAATTAATCATGTAATAAAAAAAGTACAATGCTTCATTTAGAGTAAAGCTACCTGATCGACAATTTTCTTCGAGGAATTTAGCAAGTGAGGATCGTTCAAGGGGTTTTTTGGAAGAATACGAAACTTCATTTTTGGAGCTTGAAGATGTGAGGTTGTGTAAGTGAGCTAACAAAAATAAAACATTAACTTTCGAAGATGGGTTTTGAGAGATCGAAGACGAACGAAATGGGGATCTGAATCTCAAACCCATGTATGAATTGAAGAGCATTTTTATGGGTCCTTTTTTCCGAAGTAAGGTCATTGCAAAAGGCAAATGCATTAAAGAGAAATGTTTTGACAAATTTCACAAACAACCTTTGAGGTTTTCAAAATTGCAAACTTATGTCAAGTATCGATGTTTCCTATTCAAACCACTTTTATGATTTCAAAAACTGAAGGTTAAAAATGTAAATCCATGTTCAGGTGTTTTTCGGTTTGAGGTGGTTTTCTACTAAATCCAAAATAATCCAGTTGATCAAAAATCAATTTATATAAGTATTCAATTTTAACTTTTTTTCAATAAAATTATAAGATTTAAATAAATCATGCTATTGAACTTTGTATTTAATTTACAATTATATATAATTTTTTTTTTTCTATTTGTTCTTCAAACTTTCGAATATACCAAAATCGATATTATTTACTTAAGTATGAAACATTTCCACTTCTTCCCAAACACATCCATTCTTGCAAAGTCCATCAATGAAAATGCAAGTTAACAAATTGTCATTTATAATCACATTAGGCCTAATTCCTTCTAAAATCTTCTCTTGATAAAGATTAAGAACTTTGTTGACTTCTTTATTCTTGCAATACTATCTGATTAAAGTATTATAGCAAACAACATTAGGTCTATATCCCTTTCTAGTTAAAACTTCGTCATTTATAAGATCAGTTTTTATGTTGTTTATTAGAGACTATTATTAGAGGTGTGCCACGAGGCAATGAAGTTGAATTTGAAGTTCATTAGAGACTATACTTCCAATAATAGATGGAATCAATTAGAAGAGAGAAAAAATCTATAGCTATAAGTAGGGCTGCAAAAGAACCGAACAGTTTGCGAACAACTCGATATTCATTCGATAACTATTCGACATTGTTTGCGAACAGGTCGGTGTTTGTTCAATAATATGTTCGATCGAGTTCAAACATGGGCTGTTCGTTCAATTTTGTTCGCGAACATTATACGTTCAACTTATCCAGCCGTTCGCAAACAATCAGTTGAACCATGTTTCCTGATGCTACCATGTTTCGGTCATCAAATGAATATTATATGCAGATTGGAATGAGAAATGAAAATTCACCAGATTGCTTCCTTATTTATTGATACATCAGAGGGACATCTATTAACCTCAACTCCCATCTGTTACAACGAGGCCGAAACTGAGATCATGACGGACTTGAGAGAAGTAGGAATGCACTGTGCTGGTTGCTTATTACAACTCATCTCTTGAGACTTCTTCCTTTGTGTGATGAACATAAGATCCATAAGCTTTAATTATGGATTCGTAAATGTCAATCTCTTTCAGGTTTTTAGCTTGGTTTAGAAACTGCAACAAGGTGAAAATCAAGCCGTCGGATCACAAGCATTTGGCATGCATATTGGGCTTAAGATTTATCACACCCAAAAAATAGGTTTGTTTGCTATGTCATGTTTAGCAACTGTCATGTTTAGCAACACGTAAAGCTAGTCAAGAAGAAAAGAAAAGAGAGAGATTGAATTTGCAAACGCCGCAGAGCAAAAAATGCCCCAAGGCACACCATCACAATCAAGCAAGGACGCGATTGGTAGAATTTACATTCTATGGTAGTAAAGTATTACTTGAATTTAGTTTGTCCAATATTATGGCAGAAAGAGACATACTATTAATAATCCATATCAGTGTCTGACAAAACTCAAGCAGGGGATCCCAATTCCAAACAAGGTTTTTCATTTTCATGAATAAAACCCATAGACAGACACATAGAAACTATAAAATCAACTAAATGTTAAAACTCAAAACAATGGATAGACATTCACCTCATTATGGTCATGAAGCAGAACCAGGGTGAAATTGTTGATAAAGTTTTAGGTTGAATTGATGACATTTTCAAAACCAAAAGATGGTCACTGCAAAAAAAGTCAAACACACGGGGTTAAAGGTGTATATCTTAAACCAGCGGCTGCTCACTAAAAAAAGACCAAACATACAGGGGTTATGGTCTCATTTCCAAACCAACGGACACTCACAAAAATAACCAAACACATCGGGCTTTAAAAAAAACCCCTTCTCATTAGGCAATGGATTTAAGAATTATATATATACATACCCACTATGAGTTTTCTGTTGAACATAAATGGATAGTTCAGTTGTTCCAAGTTTCAACTATAATCAGCAAAAGGAAAAGAAAATATCAGTTCTTTAACTGGGAAATGCCATGAAAGCCATTTCAAAGCTGAAATGCATAAGAACTTCACTTTCAAGATGTTATACTTCCACGCCAAATGATTCTTCTAGTAAAGTGTTCAACCCATCAGCTTTGATTGATGATTTCACCAGATTCTGCTACCAAAGAGACCTCCCAAGAGCCATCAAAGCTATGGATGCCATGCAAATCCACGACCTTCATGCTGATTCCATCACCTACTCTAAGCTCATCAAGTGTTGTTTGCCCGTGGTGCTGTTCGAGAAGGCAAACTCGTTCACAACCACGTCTTCTCAAAAGGGTATGAACCCAAAATGTTTTTAATCAACATTTTGATTAATATGTACGTGAAGTTTAATCTCTTGGAGGACGCTAAAACATTGTTTGATAAAATGCCTGAGAGAACCGTTGTTTCTTGGACAACAATGATATGGGCTTCTTGTAATGCTAAGATAATAGACAAGGTGTTTGAGTTCTTTATTTTGATGCTCAGAGAAGGTGTTAGACCAAATATGTACACCTACTCTTCCATTTTGAGATCTTGTGTTTGTTTACTCAATCTTAGTCAGCTTCATTGCGGAATAATTAAAGTTGGTTTGGATTCTGATGTCTTTGTTAGGAGCGCTTTGATTGATGTTTATGCCAAATGGGGTGAGTTGAAGAATGCACTGTGTTTTTAATGAGATGGTGACCGGAGATTTGGTTGTTTGGAACTTAATCACTGGAGGGTTTGTTGAGAATAGTGATGGAGATAAGGCTTTGAATCTTTTCAAGAGAAGGAAGAGGGCCGGTTTTGTGGCGGATCAGGCCACGCTAACGAGTGTTTTGAGGGTGTGTACTGGATTAGCGCTATTAGAATTGGGGACACAAGTCCATGTTCATGTATTGAAGTATGGCCAAGGTTTGATACTTAACAATGTGCTTTTGGATATGTATTGCAAGTGTGGTAGCTTGGAAGATGCAAAGTCTGTTTTTGATAGGATGGTAGAGAGGGATGTGATTTCTTGGAGCACCATGATTGTAGGGTTGGCACAGAGCGGATATAGCTGAAAGGCGTTGAAATTGTTTGAGTTGATGAAAGCCTCAGGGTTAGAACCAAATTATATTACAATTCTTGGTGTTCTATTTGCTTGTAGCTGTGCAGGGCTTGTAATAGATGGGTTGTATTACTTCCAATCTATGAAAAAGCTTTATAGGAGTGAACCAGAAATAAGCATTATGGTTGTGTAATTGATCTTCTTGGAAGGGCTGGGAAGATGGATCAAGCAGCTAAGTTAATACATGAGATGGAATATGAACCAGATGCTATGACATGGAGAGCTTTGCTGGGTGCATGCAGGTAATACCTTATGTTTTTTATAAGAAAGAGAAGTTTGTCAATTACTGTGCTATTCCAGTTAACATGTAACCCCAGGAACAAACCTCACTTCTTAAGGAACATTTCTTTGAACTCATTATTTGACTTCGGCTTCTCATCTTCCACTTCCCCAGCTTTTGGATTTTTCAAGGGGACACAAAGTGGTCTGACGTTTCTTGGCATTGCAAATGTGTTCCTCCCGTTTAGCTGAATGTTATCACTACGTTTATTAGCAGCACAGTGTGGTGCTCTAGACCCCCTGAAAGTCTGAATACTACTTTGCACTGCCATTTAAGCCAAAGAAGTAAGAAAATAAAAGGTAGAAGTGGGAAACATAAACATGCAAACTTCTATAGACTGCATTGCACACAAACAAACACACACAAGTAATAACAAAGATAAAACATAATTTCACTTAGCCTACCATGTTCTCCAAAGGCCACATGACCAATAGAATCCTTTCTCTTTTGCTTCGAATTTGATCTTGCAATGCTTATCTTCTTCCTAAGAAACATTTTTTGTTCTTTCCGATAGCTGCAGCAAGGTGTGCATCATCGGCAAAATCCACATATGCCAAGCCCTTCAAAAATCGATTAGAGGATATTATAAATTAGTATGCAACGGTCCCATACAGATGCTCTATAGTTTAAAGGTAAGCTGGAATATGGGTAAATCTGCATGGGACTATGGTTGAGTCTCCTGAGGATATCACTTGCCATCAAAATGAAAAAATATGCTCTAAGACAGTTAGACTCTTTATACTTAGAAAATTAAGCAATTTTACCATAATTATGGAATTCAATACTTAGAAAATTAAGCAATTTTACCATAATTATGGAATTCAACCCTTCTGCAGGTTTTTTTGAGACTGCGTAATCGTTTTTGGAAAGGACATTCATCTTAAAACCAAA